TGGTGACATGGAACTTTAGCATATGTTACCCCATTTTGGTTTGGTCTGTTTTACCTTGTGCCAAGAGCTCAGTCTAAACCAATGACCTCCTATAAATTTTATTTAACAAAACTAAAAACAGTGTTTTTAATGTCTCTGTAGATGAGCCTTAATAAAAAAGATTATACTTTTCTAGGTTTTAAAATCTCACTTTTCACCTTTTGTATCATGAATTAATCTTCCATGTCATTTGATCGTCACCCCCCATAACAGTCTGATGAGGAAGGCACTATAATTGTCTGTATTTTACAAATGGTCAAACCAAGGCACCAAGATATTAATTACTATTCTTTTGTAGCCAGTGGTCTGATTGAAGACCTCTCCTCTTAACTATTATTATATTAGTTGTGCTCCCTATAATCTCCATGGACAACTGTTAGAAAACATAGTTACTGATTGAGTTATACTAAAAGAAGAAATAAAAATTTTAGTGAAATATACTTCCTTTTTATAACCATGGTGATAATTTACACCTTTAATATTTATAGCAATAATCTAATCAAACTTAATCTTAAATATTTTCTACATTTTCCACATATATTAAAGATTATTTTTAACAAATGTGAGTACAAGTAATTCATAACATGCATCAATCACGAAGGATTTTATTTATACTGCATTAATAAATAATCCCCAAAATCTTCTTGTGTTTTGGTGATAAATATTCCTGTTACTTTGGTTAATATTTAAATAAAGTAACAAGCATAATGGTACTCAGTAACTTCATTATTTTCAATGGTACTAAGCTTATCATATCATCCTAAGTAGGCAGTAATTCCCTGATTACATAATATTCTCAGTATACTGGGACTGATTTAGCTATGGGTTAAAAGCATAACTAGCTGATGTGTACTCAGATGTAATCTTTTATTAAATCACTATCAAGATAAATGCTTTGTGGTAAAGAGTTATCTCAATAGTTTCTCAATAGTTTCACTATAATTTTTATATATACTTATAATTTATATATATATAAATTATAGTAATAGTAAACATATATATAAATAAAAACTGAAATTAATTCACTGATAAATTTATGTTATGCCTGCAAGTCATCTTCACTGATGAGGATCAGAATAGCTATACTGCTTAACTCACAGAATCAATCAAGGTGATTATATAAAAATATCAAAAGCATTTTACATACAGATCATAAGGTGATACAGCATAAGTTCTGTTACAAAGATCAGCACTCATTATAAAACTCTAATTAAGCCATTATGGAAAGGAATAGTTATATTCACTAGATTCTGCATAAAAATACAAAAAAAGTACAATATATTTCATAAAATTCTTATCAAAGTATATATAGCTCCAAATGTTTAAAAAAAATGCTGTAGGGTAGTTTATTCACCATAGATAAAAAGCAATACAGGTGTTACTGACATTATTTCTAATATGTCCAAAATCATGATGGTATTATTAGCATTAAACTAATAAGATTAATGTCAGCTCTTTGTCATTATATTTTAAAATAATGTACAGTATTTTAATCTTCGGAATGGGCAGGATTTGATACTGAAGAACAAAATCAAACATCAGTTAAAATTAAAGCTAATAAAGAGAGCAATCTAATTAAACCTGTAACTCTAGAGTCAGGCACTAATTCTGACAAATATTTGGTGTTCAATGTGTATTTGTCAAAAAAAATAATAAGGGGTGACTTTTACGTCATGATTTTGTTTTATGATTCTAAAAGCAATTTTAAAAATAGTTATATAATAATGCTCCATTCATTTACCTGCAAATGCAATAATTTCATTCTTCTTTAAGGCTGAGTAATATTCCATTGTGTATATATACCACATTTTCTTTATCTATTCATCTGTAGAAGGGCATCTAGGTTGGTTCCATAGCTTAGCTATTGTGAATTGAGCTGCTATAAACGTTGATGTGGCTGCATCACTGTCGTATGCTGATTTTAATTCCATTGGGTATAAACCCAGGAGTGGGATAGCTGGCTCAAATGGTGGTTCCCTTCCAAGTTTTCTGAGGAATCTCCATACTACTTTCCTTAATGGTTGAACCAATTTGCAGTCCCACCAGCATCCTGGCCAACATTTATTGTTGCTTTATTCTGATAATTGCCACTCTGACTGGAGTGAAATGGAATCTTAGAGTAATTTTGATTTGCATTTCTCTAATTGCTAGTGAAGTTGAACATTTTTTCATATATTTGTTGATCAATTGTATTTCTTCTTCTGTGAAGTGTTTATTCAGTTCCGTAGCCCATTTATTGATTGGATTATTTGTTTTTTTGGTGTTAGGTTTTTGAGTTCATTATGTATCCTGAATATTAATGCTCTCCTGAGGTGCATGTGGTAAAGATTTTCTCCCATTCTTGCTCTCTCTTCACATTGTTTCCTTTTCTGAGAAGAAGCTCCTTCTCATTTATCTTTTTTTAAAAAAGAAGCTTTTTTAGGGGCTGGGGTTGTAGCTCAGTGGTAGAGTGCTCACCCAGCAAGTGTGAAGCACTGGGTTCGAGCCACAGTACCACATAAAGATAAATAAATAAAGGTATTATGTCCATCTACATCTAAAAAAATTACAAAAAGGTTTTTATATGGACTTTTTTCTTTTTGCCTAGTGACACTAAATGTGCATAATACAATGAAAGGTAACACTGGCAGTCAAATCAGTTTTCCATAGCTTTCTACCAAGACATTCTCAGAGGATAAGCAGCACCATCAAGCATTGGGAAATCCGTTTTATATGTAAATGTGAGTACATTAGGGTCTTTAGAAAGTTTAATTAAACTTGTATAATGTGATGATTCAGTTTTCTTTTTAAAGATACTCCAATACCTTATAGAACTGGAGGGGGCTCTACCAGTCTGATCTAACCCCTCATATTGCTGATGGGTACATTGAGTTACAAAATGCCTAAAGTAGTTGATAGGCAGCAGAGCCAGAAACAAAACAAAGTGCCATGACCTCGTGAACAGTCTTAACACTGCTAATAAGTGGTTTTTCTTGAGACAATTACAGTGTTGTTGTTGGTTTGGTTTGGTTTGGTTTGGTTAGTTGTAGATGAACACAATATCTTTATTTATTTATTTTTATGTAGTGCTGAGGATCAAACCCAGTGCCTCACATATGCAGGGAAGCACTCTACCACTAAGTTATAGCCCCAGCCTGCCCAATTAGAGCAGTTTTTAACTTGAAAATCATTAGAAATATTTTGTATTCCAGGAAGTCAATCCAATGTGCTAAGATTTTCTTTTCCATTATCTTAGTTTGCCTGAATACTTTGATGGTAGTAACTAATATTTATATACCACTTTTCAGTTTTACAACACATTTTTACATTTTACATTCTCACTTGACTTTCAGAACAACCTTTATGTCAGATAAGGATACTGAAGCTAAAGGACATTTAATAATTTGTTCAGATAACATATGCAGATGGCAGACTTGAACACAAGCCTTCCAACCCTGAGCCATGACCTTTCTATTCCCTCCAGCTTTACACATAGTTGAAAATTGCTTAAGAAGAATTTTTTTTTAAGTCAAACAGCTGCAATATACTGAATGTCTGCTATGGGTCAAGCAGTATGGTAGATTCTTTCTACATCTGCCATTCAAAATCAGTGAGATATTTTAGAAGTGAAGTTTTTATCCAGTGAGTAGTTTTACCCAGGATTAAAGCGTCCACAGCCCTGGAGCTGCACATAGGACTCAGGTTTACTTAAAGAATATAGTCCTATGCTTAGAACTAAATCATTCTTTATGTGCTGCTTCTGAATTGCATACATGGGTGTTCCTATTTACACATCCAGATATCTGACACATAATTGAGGAAATACTATTGGCTCAGAAGCTCATCACATTTAAAAAAGAAGTCAGGAAAGGTAAGTCACTAGCTATATGTGCTAATATAATTACTGGATGGCATGATCAGGTTTTTTTCCTTGTAATAATATTAAATAGTAATGTACACTTTTAAGAAAATTAAAATACTTTAAGTGAACATACTTAGAAGTTAGTTCAAGCTTATATCCTTACACTGTCTTCTAAAATTTTATCTAATTTTATAATTAATACGTTCAACATGTATTTTTAATTTAAATGTAATTTTTTAAAAAATATTTTTAGTTATAGATGGACACATACCTTTATTTATTTATCTTTATGTGGTGAAGACCAAACCTAGTGCCTCACACGTGCTATTCAAACATTCTACCACTGAGCCATAACCCCAGCTCTGTTTTTATAATAAAAAACAATTTAAATTTATTTAATTTTTAAGAATCTTTGAAACTATTATTGTCAAAATTGAGCAAGGCTTTGCCTCTTCAGGCTGCTTTGTTTTACCTAAAGTTATTTTGAAGAGTTGTTTTCATTAGGTCACTTGTTTATTGGCAAGAGTTAATATTTATATTTGTGCCCCTCTAATTAGGAAAGTAAAGAGCGATATGAGAGGAGAGGAGAGTCGGGAAGGTTCTAGCTATGTGACCTGAGTAGCAAGTCCCTCTCGGCTGTGCATCAGGAGAGGTGGCATCTCTAGCCTCTCCAGATCCCAATGTGCAAGAGACTTGCACATCAAATCTAAACTTTATTCAAGTTTAACAGTGCTATCTAGCTTCTGGGGCTAGCCCTTGGTGTCCTCCTTTGCTTTGACTAGAATATAAACTTTGTTCAGTCTTGTCCCAAATAAGAAGTTCCAAGCAATTAGGCATTTGATAAGTGTGTGAGACTCAATCAGATTAAAAGTGTCAAGTTGAATTTCTAAGCAAATCTGAAGAGTACTGTGTGATTCACATTCTGTCATTTGTGTTGTTACGTATCTTGGGAGGTTTGGTATCTTATGATCTTCCACTGAAGGTGTTAAAGACAACATGGACTGGACTCTTAAGATTTGACATTTTGATTCTAATCAAAACACAAGTGTCAAATGCTGTTCTCTGTTGCATTGTTTATCTATTACATATCCCACAATTTATTCTTATCTTTCCTGCCTAGGTCGAACTGGAAGGTACACACTTATAGAAAAATGGAGAGATACTGAAAGACATTTAGCACCTCATGAAAATCCTATCATATCCTTAAACAAATGGGGGCAGTATGCTAGTGATGTACAGTTAATTCTGCGTCGAACGGGGCCATCTCTCAGTGAAAGACCCACTTCAGATAGTGTGGCTCGAATTCCTGAAAGAACTTTATACAGGCAGAGTCTCCCCCCATTAGCCAAACTGAGGCCTCAAATTGACAAATCAATCAAAAGAAGAGAACCTAAAAGAAAATCATTGACATTTACAGGAGGTGCCAAAGGATTGATGGACATTTTTGGAAAAAGTAAAGAAACTGAATTTAAGCAAAAGGTGCTGAATAACTGCAAAACAACAGCAGATGAGTTGAAGAAACTGATTCGTTTGCAGACAGAGAAGCTTCAATCCATTGAGAAACAGTTAGAATCTAATGAAATAGAAATACGATTTTGGGAGCAAAAGTATAATTCTAACCTTGAAGAGGAAATTGTCCGCCTGGAGCAAAAGATCAAAAGAAATGATGTAGAAATTGAGGAGGAAGAATTTTGGGAAAATGAATTACAGATTGAACAGGAAAATGAAAAGCAGCTAAAGGATCAACTTCAAGAAATAAGACAGAAAATCACAGAGTGTGAAAGCAAATTAAAGGACTATTTGGCACAAATCCAGACTATGGAAAGTGGTCTTGAAGCAGAAAAATTGCAACGGGAAGTTCAGGAGGCACAAATCAATGAGGAAGAGGTTAAAGGACAGATTGGTAAGGTCAAAGGGGAGATTGACATCCAGGGCCAGCAGAGCTTGAGGTTGGAAAATGGTATTAAAGCTGTGGAAAGATCTCTTGGACAGGCCACCAAACGACTACAGGTAAGAACATTTTTATTACAGGATGTTTCATCTATTTAAAGAATATATTCCTGGACTCTTTTTTGAGTGTTTCCCTTGATTTTAAAGGACTTCATTTTTCTGTATTTCAAGAATTAGAAACCTAGTTTTGTTTAAAAGTCTCATAGAATTTTTGTGATGTGTGACAAAGTTCAGATATAACACCACACTAATGGGTGCTCCATAGAAGAGGCTTTTCACTGTGACAGTTGTGACATTAGGTGATTGTATATAGAAGAACACAACCCCAGAAGGGTCAGCCCTAGACCTGGAATGGATACTAATGATGAGATAATGCACCTGACCTTCTCCTTTCAGAGGGAAACCCAAGCCAGATGAGATTACAAAGATTGATTGACCAAGGGTTGTGTCTGACTGCTTGTCTGTCAGTCCTCCATTGTCAAGCCCCAGCTTTTTTCCTTTTTCCCAGTCACCTTCCCGCCTCTCCTCTCCCTCATATCCCTCTTTACCTTCCTAATTAGAGGGGCACAAAGGAGAGGCATACTCTCCAACTTCCCTCTCCCTGGTACCTATATAAGAACGTTTATATTTTACCACTTAAACTCTGATCACTCAACTTACATTTCTTGGATACCCATTCTTGAAAACACAGTAGTGGTTATACAGGAGTTGTAAAGATTTATGAAACAGTTGCTAACAGATGAAATGAAAAAGACAATTGATGGCTGTTTAAATTTAAATTAATTAAAATCAATATTCAGTAAATTAGTTTAAAATATAAAATAATTTTAAAATTCTGTGTTTGGTCACAGTCACATTTCAGGTGTTTGATAGTACATGCAGCTGTTGATTAGATAGCACAAATGCCGAACTTTTCCAGGAAGTTCTGTCAGATAGAACTAGTTGGAAGCTCACTACTCAAAGTATAGTTCACGACAGGCAGTTCAGGGGACACTTATTAGAAATTCAGAATCTTTATGTATTGAGAGCCCCAAATAGTACCAAATAGCACACTAAAGTTTGAGAAGAGCTGCTTTAATATTGATACATACAGTCCTTCTGGGAAAGCTGAGATTTCCAGAAGAACCAAGATGGTTTCCTTTCTCTGTCTGTCACTAACTAGTAAGACATAATACTACCACCAAAATTTTGAAAATCAGGAATTTCTCACTTGTTAGCATTTTACTATTTGGATTTATTTTGACAGTTTAAGAAGAGTACAAAGGAAGTCATGTTGTCTTTGCTATTATTACAGTAATGACAATCATTACTTTTAAGCCATGTACCCATTGAAAAGTACCTGATAGCAGACTACTAACCCATTACCACATACCATCGTTCACTCAGTGTAAATGGAGAAAATCATTCCTTGCTTCTAGTATCCACCAGAGCCTTCAGATATGTCCAGCCCAGTTAAGGCCAGGCTGCCTTTCCTGAAAGTCCAGTAGAGACAGAACAGAAAGAGACAGAAAGTAACATACATAACAGGTTGCCTCTCCTTACTTTTGGAGCTTTCCAGCTATCTAAACCAGATTTCCTTCCCTAAGGATCTGTAGTTCTCAGGCTGTCTTTGTCAAGAATTTAAGAACCTCAGACTGAGACTCTTGTGAAAATCTTGCTTTGCTTATGCTATCTTGATAACAGATGTGATGAAAAACACCTTATAAAAACCAAGAACTCTAATAAATCACCTGGACCAGTTTATTCATCATTTGTAGTCAGTTATGAAATGGTTAGTAGGGAAATTTGTGATGAGCTTGACAAGACTGCTATAATGCTAGGATAGAGAGAAACCAATTTTTAAAAATTTTTTTAAGTTGGACACAATACTTTTATTTATTTATTTATTTATTTATTTATTTATTTTGATGTGGTGCTGAAGATCAAACCCAGTGCCTTGCACATGCTAGGCTAGTGCTCTGCTGCTGAGCCACAACCCCAGCCCAGAAAACAATTTTTTAAATGAAACTTCATAGACATGCCTTATTTTGTATGAATGCATAGTGATGTTCCAAAGGGAAGCATTTCAGTTTAGAGGGCAGACTGAAGAAGCTGTTGTCTTTCGTTTGTTTTGTTTTGGCCCATGCCACAGAATGCAAGAGACCTTTGTATCCATGTAATCCAGATTTGTTAAATGTGCTGCCTTAGCCCCTGCAGCAGAGGGACTGTCCTTGGACATCTTGAGCTGGCCAATAACGAATCCTCAGATGAAGAAATAACAATAATAATTTCCACTTAGGACAAAGAACAAGAACTGGAGCAGTTGACCAAAGAGCTGCGGCAAGTCAATCTCCAGCAGTTTATCCAACAGACGGGGACAAAAGTTACCGTTTTGCCAGCCGAGCCCATTGAAATAGAGGCCTCACAGGCAGATATAGAAAGAGGTAAGGGATTGATAAATATTTTTTTTCCTTTTTTCTCACTGATTATCTTTGAATAAACTGTTTGCAGTTAGTTAAAGTGTCAGCCTACCATTCATAGCTAATTTTTAAGTGGGTCACTTTTTCAAAAATATTAACATGCTTCCCATTTTTATAGAGAAAAACAATAATTTGGTTTTGTTTACTTAGGTAATCATGTAATTACCAAATCTCCTATCACTTAGTTTTAAAAATTCAACTGCTTCTTTATGAAACTTTTACCTGAGTATATATGAGCCATAGTGTATTAATTTGAATTTCAGCATCTCTCAGTTTCCCTAATGTCCCTTCTTCCCTTTCTCTCTTTCTGAAAGTCTGTATTACTAACATGTGCTGATATTTAAAAGACCATTCCAATCTATGCACATATAATCTGAACAACCAAAAGGTGAGAAGAATGCTTACCTTAAAAAAAAAAAAAAAATTCACTCTTCCTACCCTGCAAACCTGGCCTGTCAGCTAGAGTCCCATGTGAGATAGTCTTACTTTTCTCCCACCTCATAGTCCACAAGGGTTTGCAGTGGTTGCTATATGCAGTTCTCTCTTCTCAGGTTTTTTTAGGGCAGGAAATATTCTAATTTATCACGTTGCTAAGTGCTGCTAAGTAATGAGTACATCAAGTGACTTTCTTTATTTCTCATTTAGAGGCACCATTCCAGTCTGGGTCCCTGAAGCGACCTGGTTCATCTCGGCAGCTTCCCAGTAATCTTCGTATTCTACAGAATCCTATCTCGTCTGGTTTTAATCCTGAAGGCATATATGTATAACATTATCTGTCTTTAGGGGAGAGATCAATAAAAGTACCAAGGACAGTCAAATTTCTACTTTGATTTGTGCCAATGATGAACAGAGGACATGTTTCACAAATCACCGTATTTTTTTCTCTCCTAAATTGCATACCACTTGGAGCCATACCCTGTGCACTGATGCTAAAGAACAAAGAAACTGTTTTCACACATCAACAGTATTGACATTTTTGTCCAGCAGCTGTAATACAAAGCCTTCATTTTTATTTGTAGCATTTGAGAGCATTGGTAAAGTATTATACTATGTGTATACATAAATAAACCGTGAATTAAGAGTAAAGAGAAATATGTGACTGGTTTAGATTAATTTATTCCTTGTAATTGATTAATGTGTGAATGTTAATGTTTTAATATTTTTATTAATACTTATCCTGTGATTTAATTATGTTACATATTGTGTGATTATGACTGTGTGCATGTTTTCAGACTCCATCCATGCATTACGGATTTATAACTACACACGTGTCATGGGGTGCTCCACCATCCAGACTAACTCCAGAAGAACCCACTTGCATTAATTTCATGAGCCTGTTTTAGCCATTGCTTAATTAGGTGAAGTAATTGAGATTTCTTTTTAATATGGAATTTAATCTTTCCTTCACAGTATTTCCAAATATATAAGTGACCACATAACAGAAATGTTTTTCATGAGGTAAATTATACATGTTAAAGTTTGCAGTCTTTCATATCATATTGAGCAAAAACCTAATTGTTGTATATCTATTCAAACAGGCATGGGGGTTCCTGATACATTATGTGATTTGTTTCTGCCCTGCCTTATCATTTACTCTCAAGGATCCTCAGAATTAATATAATATATGTTATAGATGCCTGAGGATCGGGTTAGTATACTTTGTGAATTTTGCTTCAAATTATATATTTTAAAATAACCCATTTCTCATGTATGGTCTGTTGGTATACACGCCTACTGGTGAGTTATTGCTTCCACATAATTTACTCTGTATATTATGAACAACTGTGCTTTTTCTTCAGTCACTTAGGGAGAGAGTAGATTGGAGTTAGCTCCTTTTTACCAAGGAAATAAAGTTAAATTTAGAGTATATTTTTCATTTTTAAGTTTGACTTTTATAGGATATAAATCTCCATTTGTATGTATATTGTTTTATTTATAAAGCCAAAAATGAGTCCACAACTCCACCATGAGTAGTGGCTTAACTGAGATTATCAAGTAATATTTAGACAGATGCTGTCAGACACTTCTTAGCCACTTTTACTTAACCTCTGATCAAATTTGGTACAATATAATTAATATTTTAATCTGAAATTTAAAGTAGTTTTTAGTTCTGAAGGAAGTATATTCTCTGTATTACTTACATGCAACAAAATAAAAGTGGATTAATATAGTATTGCCATGGTAACAATAAAGAGATATATCTTATGCATGAAGGCAACTTTGGATGTTTCAACACATTAGACTTATTTTGGTTTAATGAATGCTGAGAATGCTGCTTTATTTAGGTTTCCTATGAAAAATTTTAAGAATGACTATGAAAATATATATAGACGCTTCTAGAGAACTGAAAGTAACATAGTGTTGCCTTTTCTAGTCCAGCTAAGTAGTAGACCTCAACTGAACATATTATTCTTTGGGTTCTTGGAGTTATCAAATTGGTCTTGCCATTATACTGTTTTGCAAATAACTTAAGGAAAAATGATTCTTAACTAAGTAACCATAACCTGTACACATTTGCTCTCAGTTTATAATATATATTTCATATCTACATATATTTAAAAATCAGAATTAAATGTCTAAATAATTTGTAGCTTTTTTGACAATAATGATTTAGGTATGCCCAATATATGCCTTACTTTTAAAGATTCCTATCCTCTACTGAGTCATTTTGTTGTTCAGAGAAATTGAGACCTTATTCACAAAGAAAAACATTTTATAAATTGTATTCTATTTAAATCAAAATGTTAAACTGTAGGTGGATTACACTTTGCAATTAGAAATTACAAAGATGCCTTGGTATACCACAAAGAATACAAAGTCGGTATCTAATTTAGTAATTGTAAATTATTAACAGAATTGCCTAATAACTTTAAAGAAAGATAGATAGCCTCCAACCAACTTGTAGTAGTCCTGGGTTCTCCAGCATAGTATCCCCAGTTAACCTCTGACTTCTTCAGAATTTTCAAGCTGCCAAATAATGGACCTAGTTACACATGAAAATACTGTTTCCTAGATGGGAAGAGTATGTAAATATGAATTAATGAACACATTTGAGCAGCGGTACTTTTTAATCAGTCATACTACTAGAAGCACATAACTGAAGAATATTTTTAAATCTTTTTTTTAAAACAGAGGAAAACTCATTTCTGTAGAAACATCTTTAAATATTTTAGTCTATTTGTGATCATTTTTACCTATTGTGAATACAAATGAATTAGATTAAGTGCCACATCTTTGGATACTTTTGGAGGGGGGAGAAGTTAATGGTATAAAGAAATACCAAACATAAAATTTTGCATCTAAGGGATAATTCAGGTTCTAAATAATAAATTAGAATACAAATTTATGTGTTTTTTGAATCATACTGTAAAGTGTTTTACTGTGATTTTCTACAACTATTAAAGATATTAAAATGGTTTTTTTCTTACCAAGAAATCATTTGAAATAGCATTAGTCTATTTGACCTTTAGAATATCATTATTCTCAGAGAATGGTACATAGTGGGTCACCTCAGTTTTTTTCATTTTCTTTATAATTTGATTTGTTTATATTTGGTTTTTGTCTTAATGCACAGGGAATTTTTTATGAGACTTCAATTGGTTTTAGTAGAAATTGCCCACTTAATTCCCAGTCACCAATGAGTAAATTGTCAGTTCCTATATTTGCAATTAGTAGAAAACTAGACTGATCAAGTTAAGAAAAAACTGAATAATACAATAAAAAAAATAGAATATGTGGTGTGAAATGTGAAGTATGGCCATGTATAAGAACAGATAAGCACTTGCTTCCACAGTAAAAATAAAATGTATCCCTGTACTAAAAGACAGCTTTCTTTGTGAATAAGAACAAAACAGCCTTTCGAGAAAAAGAATTCTTCATTGAAAGACACTTATGTGAACACTTTTCCAAGTTAGAACTGTATTGGATTGAGGAAATAATGTGGAAAAAGCAAAAACTCGATTTTAGGCATGCAAAGGCTATGAGCAGTTGGGCAGTTGTACATTGCCTTTGAAAAATTGGGCCTTAATTTATATGTATATAATTGCACTGTGTTTGAATCTCTCTTCTACATCAAGTTGTCTTTATTAGTCTGTATTGTATTAAAATTTAGCTCATTAGTATTACTTTTGTATTATGTCAGTTTTTTAAGTTGCATGTTTCTACTGTTTGCTACAGTATTTTTAAGTTTGGGTGAAGGCCACCAGCTGTATCAAACAACACAACAATCACTATTTATTCAGTATTGCTGCTTTGTGGTTGCCGACCAAGCTTTCGATGCCTGGACAGTGACTGCTAGAAAGCTGCAGGAGCTCTTTCCAATGCATTTTATATATTTTTAGAAATCAAATAAATGCAGATAACTATTTAGTATACTAATTATATTAAACCAGCAGAATATAAAGGCAATAAAATATATACTTATATATGGGGGGAGGGGAAAGATTAAAAATATGGGTTCACAACCAGACACGGTGATGGCCCTAAATGTATTTCTCAATGTCTTTCTTCACTGACCCTAGAAGGATTTGAGTTGCTGCAGCTTTAAACAGAAAATTACCACGTTCACTAGTTGTGGACTATAAATATGCTTTTAGTAATGCTTTGCTTATGTTCAGATAAAAAGTCTATAATATGTATTATATGTAACTATTTTCTTTTGACCTCATTTCAAAATGTATATTTTCTGATTATTATCATGAGTTGTAAAGCAAAGGATCAATAAGTGATATTCCCCCAAATAATAAATTTTCAGGATTCATTGGGGCAGAACTATTGTTGGTTTGTTTCTTATGTGTTTAACATTTTTAAATGTAATTTTATTTCCTTTAAATGATGGCAGAATTGTTCTGTCCACATCAATGACACCAGTTATGTTTTTCCACATATGATGTTGTTATAACTGAAGAATCCTGTTGCTCAAAAGGTAGCTGCTGGGCTGGGGCTGGGGCTCAGTGGTAGAGCACTTGCCTAGCATGTGTGAGGCCCTGGGTTCGATCCTCAGCACCACATAAAAATAAATACAAAAAAAAAAAAACTGTGTCCATCTACAATGAAAAACATTTTTTTAAAAAAAGGTAGCTGCTTCATCAAGTAACGCTTAATTAAGAAACTACCATGCCTCCCTTTTATTTCTAGAGTGAAAGGAAAAGTTATTTCTTAATCTCTGTACTCCCCAGATCTTCTGAAAGCCCAAGTGAGAGGAAGGGAGCTAACGCCTCAGTGCCCATGGTGCCAGGGCAACATGAGGCACTCGTCACACGTGAACACTCACAGCCATCCGGGGAACTTCTCTCAAATTGCAATCCAGTAAGTGGCTGACACAGCACTTGAATTTAGAACTTTCAGACCCAGAGTACCTCCCTGCATCCCATGGTAAAGCTGCATAAGCTCTACAATGCCAGTGTCTGCATTTTAACCACCCTACAGTGAAAACGTATAAATTTTATAGGAATATTTTTATAAGTAGAAGTTACATCTTGACCAAGAGACTATACAAAGTAATAGTGTACTCGAAAAGCAAAGTTAAAATGAAGAGCTTTAACTCAATTATTCTATATCCAAGCTTGGAGGACTAGTAATCCATCCTATACCTTCTTTAAAGCCATGGTTTTATGTTCAAGGCAGAACAAGAAACAGGATATGTTCACCTGACTCTTTTCCTGCTGCTGGCTCTGCAGATTTGTGCAGTATCTTAGGGGAAGTTGCTGGAATCTTTGGTGAGATCCTGTTGTTGGCTAGACACCAGACAGAAATGAGCAGGCTTGCTCTCTGCCTCAAGGAGACCACAGTCATTTAATGAGTCAGGTGACAACCTCAGTGCAACCTGTTAAGCATGATTAAAGGGGCCCAGACAGACTGTCATGGAAACACTAGAAGGATCACCCCCTAACCTGTGGTATCAGAAGACCCTGGAGAAAGCGATAGGATCAAGGGTGGGTTTTCTGGTCAGGCTGGAAGATGGAAAGTTGAAGAGCCTGTAGAGCTGTGGCATGATAGTGAAGGGCAGGGAGGGCTAAAGGAGAAGGGAGGTTGGCATCAGATCATGAAGGGCCTTGACTGTCATGGTAAGGAGTTTGGGTTTTATCCTGAGA